ATAAATTATGTCCATTGTTCATGTAATCATGTGCTCTAAATAATTGTCATTACCGGACCTCAATTCTATGAATTCGTACTTTGATGTGTCTACATAATATTATTGTACAACAAAATAAACATTGGGCGTGAAACGTCCGTTATTTATTAAAAACTTGTACTGTACGCAGCGCACTCTCATCCACAACGTGTTCAGTGTTCATCGTCAGACCGTCTTCATATTTTTCATAATTTTGTCTATGACTTTATTATTTTATTGTATTGGTGAAATATTTTATATTTTGAAATGGATCGTTACATAATACAATCATTACCCAAGACCAAAAGAGTTCGCCTGCAAACGGATGAAAACTTTGATGCCTTATACAAATTTCTAGATAAAAATTATTTTATCTACCTATATCTAGATAAAAATGATTTTATATGTCTATATCTAGATAAATTCAATTTCTACAGTATCTATCTATATCTAGATAATTTTAAATCCAGATATCTTATCTATATCTAGATAATTTATTTTTATCTAAGCACAACACTGCGTATAATTTAAGATTTTCAAATTTTAAATTACGTTTATTCGATTTTAGTATTGATTTATAACAGCTAAATGACTTCTCCTCATCAACGAAAGTGACAAGTGCATATTTCATACATGTTAATTCTTTTGGGCTGTACTCTATTTCTAAATTGTTTTATAAATTTTTTTTTAATAGTATTTCTCTATCGACTTCACAACCTTAAATCCTGAGTTTTTTCCCAATATATTTTGTAATTTAGAGTTTGTTAAAACTCCAATTTCTCCAGAAACGCGTTTTAATTGCTTAATGGCATTATCTACTATTTCTAGGCTCTTAGTTAATGCCTAAAATTTTGAAATAGTATCAACTAAAAATCCAAAATTATCGAAAATAAATGCTAAATTTTTTTGCAAGTTTTTTGAAATTTGCACCTAGGTATTTCCTACATAAAATATTGTACAGAATAATCATATATTTTTGTCCATCGTACAACACTAAAATAAAAACGTCCATGGTCCATGTCCATGGTAAAATTATCCAAAATAAACCACCGAAGTCAAACACCTTGTTTAAAAATTAAAAATAGGATAAATGTACAAATTAAATGGATTATTATACACAATATACCTAAATAATATAACTAAAAGTGTATTTACAACATTGATTATAATAATATTAAAAAAAAAATAAACAATCAATTTAATACAATAAAATAAAATAACACGCACGCACAAATATCAGGGTTTCCTTCGGGATTGGCAAACAAAGGCAG